TTAGAAATCTAACCATATACAGCATTGTAGGACAGTCCTGTGACATTTTCTTTTTCTTGTGTCTTTTTTTCATTTATTACCCATTTTAAAAAAAACAACTTTTACTTGTGAGAAAATATGGTAAGAATTGGTATGTCATGACAAGATGTATTTAGAAGACCAGAATGACAGGTATTCCAAGCGTGACCCTTCTATTACACATTGCTATCTTCAGTGCAGTTGCTTGGTTCACAGGTATCAGCATGTATAGTTGGTCAGTGTGAGAATCCTACCAATTAACTGCTAGTTTCAAAAACCTACTGATGTTTCTCAGGATCAATGCCTTGCCCATCTTGTGCATATAAATGTATGGCTTTGCCCCTGTCCTTAAACTACACATTTATATCATCAAATTTGTTGCTCAGATTATCAAATCTAAGCATGCAAGATTGATCAAACATTAACTCTTCCTTTCAGTAAGACATAAGAAATAACACACATTTTGTTTTGTTTTTTTGGCGGAACTGGGGATTGAACTCAGATCCTTGCGTTTGCCAGTCAAGCACTTATCCTACTGAGCCATCTCCCCGGCCCCCCAAAAATAACACACATTTTTAAAGAACAAGGTGAAAGGTATTCAACAGTGATTGTTATATTGCACATTATAGTTCCTCAGATTATAGATATTAGCATATAAAATTGGTCAAAGTGAAAATTTTAAATATTAACTATTTCCAAAAAATTGATAGAAATTAGTAGTACAATCACCTCAGTTTTATCCTGTGTATATATTTACATGATTTTTCCCATTCCTTTTACTCTTTTCTCCTTTCCCTCATCTCAATTGTTTATTCCTTATATTCAGTTTCTTTCCATTTTACTATATCTACTATACTTTGCGGATTCTACTTAATTTTTCAGGTTCTTACATTAGGGAGATAATACAATGTTTACACATGTGGGTCTAATTTATTCTTATACGTTAACCTCTAGCTGCATCCATTTGCCTATAAAATCCTCAGGCTAGGGCTGGGGAGATGGCTCAGTAGAATAAGTGCTTGCCTGGGAAGCACAAGGGTCTGAGTTCAATCCCCAGTTCCACAAAAAAAAATAAAAAATGAAAAATAAATCCTCAGGTTTCTCTTTCTTTATAGCTGAGTAATACTACATTATATAAAAATACCACATTGTTTTTGCCCATTCCTCAGGTGATGGGCATTTGGGTTGTTTCCAAGATTTGGCTGTAACAAACTGTGCTGCTAAAAACATGGGGCACATATATCTCTGTGGTATGATGCTTTCAGTTCTTTTAAAGAGATACCCTGAAGGGAAATAGCTGGGTTGAATGGGACTTCTAATCCTCGTTTTTTGAGATGTCTCCAGGCTGATTTCCATAGTAGTTATACTAGTCTACACTCCCACCAACAGTGAAGAAGAAGGTTCCTTCTTCTCCAGTCTCTCCAGAACTTGTTATTAGTTGATTTATTTATGATAGCCACTCCTTCTGGAGTGAGGTGGTATTTTAGTGTTGTTTTAATTTGCATTTCTGGAACGCCCCACAACTTTCACTTCATCTTACTCTCCAATCTATTGGCCCCTCCAGCATTGCCACTTGGTAGCAACCTCTTCACTCTGACCAATTAGCTTTGAATTCAGACAGCTCCCCTCTTCTCCCCTCTCCTCCCCTCCCCTTCTATCCTTTCATATATATATATGTACACACACACACACACACACACACACACACACAGAGGTACGGCAGGAAGACTAGAAAAAGAAACTATAGGTACAGGAATTGGGGCCCACAAGAGTTAATATCGATCAATAAAATAAATGACTCATTATAAAAACATATTCCACAAACGTGTTCTACTCTTTTCCGCTTCCTTTCACATAACTGTTTAAGCCAGAAACTAATCATCTTTAAACAAAGCCTCCTCTCTCTCCCATTCACCAATATCAAATTCATTCCCAAATTCTGACAATTTTATCTCCAAAACTGTCCATCTTTCTATTTTTACATCTTAACCCAAGCTACCAAAAACTTAATCTTAGCACTAATTTATGATCCTAGTATGAATTTTTCAGCTCTTCCCCAAATATTCCATTCCCAAAAAACCACCTGAGAACATGACTCTGATGATCTTACTTTCTGATTAAAATCCACCAATGGCTTCCCACTGGCGCTCGCTCCACAGCATTCCTTTGATCAAGCCACTGCCTACTCCTTTCCATTTTCCCACCCTATCTCCCCTTGCTCTCTGAACTCTGATCACACAGGCTTTTAGTACTGGAAATATGCCAAACTTTACCCCACCTAAAACCCTCTCCTAGCCAGGTGTGGAGGTGCACATCTGTAATCCTATCACTTAGGAGGTTGAGGCAGGAGGATCACCTCAAATTCAACACTACATTGTGAGTTCAAGGCTAGCCTGAACTACATAGTGAGATTCTGTCTCAAAAAAACCAAATGGAACCTCTCCTCTATTCTTCACTTAGGTGACTTCTACTCTTCTTTAGGTTTCAACTAAAATAGTATTTCCTTAGAAGTGCAATCCCTGGGCTGGGGAGATAGCTCGGCAGCATATGTGCCTGCCTGGCAAGTCAAGGTCATGAGTTCAATCTCTGGTACCTCATACCATGCCATATGGTGGCACACGCCTGTAATTCCAGCACTAGGAAGGCTGAGACAGGAGGATCACTACAAGTCCAAACTGTGTAGAGGGACACTGTACCAAAAAATGAAAGGAAGGAAGGAAAGAAGGAAGGTAGGTAGGTATTCCCTGACTGGTTGAATTTTACTTAGTTCTCCATTATTTCCTCTTATGACACTCTGTTCCTTTCCTTCATAGTACTTAATGCAAACTGTGTTCACTGGATATAGTTGTTTCTACTTCTTACTGCAAGAGGACTCTCTTGGCCTTGGCAACTATAAAAAACAGCAAGAATGGTTCGCGGATAAAACAAGAGGCTGACAAACTCATTGTGATCATCATTCAGCTCACAAGCGCCACCTAGGGAATGAACTCCCATCTGCTAGCCTTAAGTCCGGTTCTTGGGAGAAGATACATACCAGGTCATCATCAGGCAACATAAACCTAATGACACAATTTACACTAGCTAGAAATGTCTGAAGTATTCCAACAGTTCTCAACAGGAACATCTGAGTGTACATAGTCACAAACAATCAAAAAACAAAAGCTTATTTTTCTTTTCTAGAAAAGAACCCACTGTCTAGAACCTCCCTTGGAGTGATATGAGCTTCACATCCCCTTACTGTCCAAATTATACTTCCAGCTTATATCATCATGTCACTGTAATAAGATGAATGGTTTGCTGACCTGGACTACCTTGTTTGGTGGCCACACAGTCATTCTAAGAGTTTTCTTGCAAGGATGTGCAAATTATATTATGCTTTTAAATCGATCTATTGATTTATATACATATATATGTGTATATATACATATACACATATATATATAACACTGACTTTTTTTCTACTGTTACTTTTTCTTTTACTGGCATATTTCATTTTGGGTTTTTTTTTTTTTTTTTAGTGTACTATTTTTTCCCAGATTATTATCTACTAATTTTTTTTCTTTTTGGAACTGGGGATTGAATTCAGGCCCTTTCGCTTGCCAGGGAAGCACTTATTCTACTGAGCCATCTCCCCGGCCCCTATACTAACTTTTGAACTTACTTCTTGTCATACAATTCCCCAGTGTTATCTTATTTCACATATTATCTGCTGATGCACTAAACTACAAACTCTACAAAGGAAGGGCTATCAAATTTGCTCATCACTATATTTTCTACCAACTAGTACAATACCTAGTGCATAATATAAGGCATTCATAGCTGTTTTAGAGTAATGAGCTGTTGACAGAGCTTAGCTGTAGAATACTGGATTCAAAACCCAGTACCAAAGAAAAAGAAAAAGCAAGCCAAAGGATAAATGACACCATAGATAGCATATCCTTATACTCCCTCCACCTGGTATTAATACCTAAGGTTTCTTTTTTTCTGAGGAAAATAAAACCTTTGAATCTCTTCCCATTCCTATCTCGTCAAACTGTCCCTCTCTGTGTTTCCCTTGGCATGTAAGTATACCCAAATTGCTCTCTTTTTTCACTCTCTTATACTTATTTTGTTTTGCAGTGTTGTGGAGAGAACCTAGTACCTTGTATATGCTAGGCAAGAAATTCACCCAGCTACACCACCAGCCTTCTCTTTTAAAAGAAAGTTATAAGGAGAAAATGACTCTCTTCCACAACTCTACTCCATTTTATGTACCATTTTCTTCCTCTTTTCATATTTAGACTAACTGAAAAAGTGTTTACTCTTTAATCAATTATTATCTACCATTTACCCTTACCAATCCATATATTTGATATAACAAAGACCCTAATAACTTCCTACTGAGCATTTTCAAATCTTTATTCTCTTTGGTTTTTCTAGGGTAGCATCTAAGGTGGCTGACCACTCCATCTTTCTTAAAATTCTCTCTTCTGGCATCTGTGATAACATGAGTACTTTCCTAATTTTTCCACTACCTTTCAGGTCTCCTTTTACTTTTCTGCCTGGGCACCATTTAGAATGTCTGGTATATAACAGATATCCAGTAACTAGGGATTATGTGAAGAAATGACTGAATAAATAAAATATTTCTCCCTCTTCTTCAGCACTACATCCTCCAACAAATAGGTGTGAGAGATAAAATATAGACATAACAGTGTTTCCTCTAACATTTTAATCCCTGCTTCTTTCTTCATCTCAACTTTTCAGCCCAACTAGGTTTTCCAAACCATGGCTAAACTCACCAAAACCATCTCTCTTTCTTTTTTTTGTCTGATCCTTGGTCTGAGAATGATTCCACAACATGTCCTTTAATTGGTCTCTCTGTCTGTGCTCATGTCCATCTTTGGGTGTCTCCATTTTTTCACCTTCTGAGAAGATAAAATAAAACATGGTAAAGTACAGAGATGAATAAAATCTTTATAGGCAGGTAAAAGAATCATAGCCACAGAGTTGTAAGCCTTGAGCTGAAATTTCTCGGTCTGCCCATTATCCCACTCTCTAATTTTTGAAGTAACTACTAGAGCCAGGCATCAACATGTACTTGACTATACTTACGAGCCTCCTTCTTTCTTTTGCTTAAGTACTCTCTGTCAACTTTCTTCTCAGAGGGTGCAGGAACTGCCTGGCCTGGCCCAGATGCACTCATCTCTGGGGTAACTTCATCTTCCAGAGACAATGAAATCTCTGGTGTGTGAGGTACCATCACCTTCTCTCTGCAAAGGATGCATTTTATCAAAGGAAAAGTTAGAAAGGAAAAACATCAGTACCAACCTTTTTAAATAACCTGAAGGTAAATAAAAGACAGAAGTAGTCTGGGTTATGGGCTAGGGGTGTACTGTGCTTAGCAAGCACTAGGTGCAAGTTCAATTCCTGGCACTAAAAAGAATTCTAGGCTCACTGAGGCCTCCTGACATCATTTTACCCATTTACTTGCCTGTTTTTTCCCTAGCCCACACAGTTCTCTTTCTTGAACTAAGAGAAATCAGTGGGAACATGACAAATAGATCATCATTTATGAATCCTGGGTTGTACATGTCTCTCTGCGATCAACTTACCCACTGGCATTATCATCATTAGTAGCAGAAGTAATGATTCCCGGTTCTTTGCCTGACTGGATGTACACTGTTGGCTTTACACAGGAAGTCTCTGCAAAATTAAGGCCCAATCTCATTCTTCCCAAAATAAAACACTATAAACATAAAATGAAAACAGTCATGGTACTCCAACATTTTCTACCATAGCAGTTCATTAACATATCTCTTCCTGTTGCCTGGAGCCCCTACCTCTGGTCTCTTACCATATGATAGAACCTGTAGTCTTTAAAGTCTTAGGAAAAACTACAAATTCAGATCTCCTGCAAGCCTTTACTGATTGATCTTCCTCATTCCATGACAGCCAGATAATAATTTTATGTCATATATATATATATATATATATATAAACTTTTACTCTGCATTGTATATAATTTTTCTATAAACTCTTTCTAGGAATAAAAAAGTACACTAAGAATGACTGAGATGTCAGACTATTCTACTTGGCCTTATGGAGAAGGTCTCAAGGCCTATACTATACAGTTCTTTATTTTAAAAAATAAATCCTTGAGTAGTATTAAATTAGTTATTAAGCATACAAATATATAAGATTAAGTTTTTCCAAGTTGGGAAGCAATTTATCTTTTCTAAGTAGATTATTAAAATTGCATTTAAAATTTTGGGTGAGACTATTTATTCTGAAAATCTATACCCTTTATTTTTATTGTGAAAACCTATACCCTTTATCTAAGGTGATTTAGCTATAGTTCTATTTTGGGGAATGAAATTTTTCAAAGTTTCAACTAATATTTCCTTACTTAGGAAGATGGAAAAAAAGGAGAGAAGCTGTCAAACTTATACTGCCCCTATTATAATAGTCACTTTGCCTAACTGAAATTCCTTTTGCTCTCACTACAAGCCATACCGAAGCACTCCTTGAGGGACTTGCGTAGCACAGTCTGGACAATCTCCTCAAATTCTGAATCAGTAAGAATTAATTTTTCCTGCAAAGACAAAGGTAAAAAGGAAAACTGCTTATTTTTTTCATAATTTTTTCCTCTGCTACAGCAGGCAGTTCACAGGACTGAAATTACAAAGTCAATATACCTAAGGAGACCATAACCTCTACTCCAGATCTCCTGGAATGAAAGAGTCAAAGGAGAGAAAGCATTTATAAAGTCTCTGTCTACTTTTATACCCACCTCTATTCCACCTCATCCATTTTTTTTTTTAAGTACTGGGACTTAAACTCAGGACCTTGTGCTTGCCAGGCAGGTGCTTGTGCTGCTGAACTATATCACCAGCTCTACATCTCATTATTTCTGGTTAAATGGTTTCATCAAAAAATTTTCTGTTGGGGCCAGGGAGATAGTTCAGCAGTCTAAGTGCCTGCCTGGCAAGCGCAGGGACCCGGGTTCAATCCAGGCACCACACACTGTGCCAACCCTGCCCCCAGGCACACCAAGCCAGCCACCAGAACTGGGTATGGTAGCGCATGCCTGTAATCCCAGCAATGGGGAGGCTGAAACAGGAGAATCACTACGAGTCTGAGCTACGTAGTAAGATCCTATACCAAATACATAAATTGTTTTTTAAAAAATGATGTCTTAGGGCTGGGGAGATCTCTAGTGTGTGAGGTACCATCACCTTCTCTGAGATACTCAGAAGCATAAGTGTCTGCCTGGCAAGTGCAAGGTCCTGAGTTTGATCCTCAGTAACAAACAAACAAACAAACAAACAAACAAACAAAATTATGTCTCTGAGAAGAAAAAGGAAGTTTAACAAAAGAAACAAAAACTGGAAAACTACAAGATGAATTTCTCCAACATGAAAAGATTCTGTCAGTCTAGTAGAGGTAGAAGTGGGGAGGGAATAAGAGGAAGTGTCCTACCAGTCCATCAGTGGGATTTATACCTTTTTAATCCTCTCTGCTGGCTTGCTGCCTTGAGCCTTTCTTTTCTTCTCATGGCCAAGTCTTGGACCATTCTCCGTGGTTACTTTCTGCTTCTTCTCTACCCTGGACTTCGGTTGGCTTGGCTTGGTCTCAGCCTCTGGGGAGCCAACTCCTGGAGCCTCCATGGGTAAATCAGGGCTATGAGGCATCATGCTATGCAATTTTTGTATAGGTGGGGCAAAAGTTTTCTTTGGTCCCTTTCCACATTCTGAAATAAATGTTATCAGATGCAAATCATGATGCATGCTCTAACAGTGGTTGCCGAACTTGGCCCACTGACTAGCCATATCAGAATTATTAATTATAAGCAAAGAGCTTTCATCAAATTCAGATTCTTAGGTTTCTTCCTGCCTACTTCACCCAACTCCAGGTCTGAGATTATGATGAAGTAGTTCAGAGAAGCCTAGAAATCTACAATTTTATAAGGATAGTTGGTTCTGACACACTGCCAGGGTCAGGAACCACTGAGAAACTTAAAGATGATAAATGTAAGCACATAGGAAGCTGAATTATTCAAGTGTGAAATTTTTATAACTTGCTCATTTTAACTTTGGATAATTTTATGAGAAATTAGCTAAAAAGCTAGTCAAAAATCTATAAATTGGGGCTGGAGAGATGGCTCAGTGGAATAAGCATTTCCCTGGCAAGTGCAAGGTCCTGAGTTTGATCCTCAGTAACAAACAAACAAACAAACAAACAAACAAAATTATGTCTCTGAGAAGAAAAAGGAAGTTTAACAAAAGAAACAAAAACTGGAAAACTACAAGATGAATTTCTCCAACATGAAAAGATTCTGTCAGTCTAGTAGAGGTAGAAGTGGGGAGGGAATAAGAGGAAGTGTCCTACCAGTCCATCAGTGGGATTTATACCTTTTTAATCCTCTCTGCTGGCTTGCTGCCTTGAGCCTTTCTTTTCTTCTCATGGCCAAGTCTTGGACCATTCTC